CGCCCTCCTTCTCCTGGCACAAAAGGGCGCCTTCCACGCCCTCCTTCCCCTCCTGGCACAAAAGGGCGCCTTCCACGCCCTCCTTCTCCTGGCACAAAAGGGCGCCTTCCACGCCCTCCTTCTCCTCCTGGTACAAAAGGATGCCTTCCACCCCGTCTTACTCCTGGTACAAAAGGGTGCTTTCCACTCCCTCATTGTCTTCCTGGTACAAAAGGGCACTTTCCTCGCCCTCGTTATCCTCCTGGTACAAAAAGGTGCCTTCCACCCCATCTTCCTCCTGGTACAAAAGGGTGCTTTCCACCCCCTCATTGTCTTCCTGGTACAAAAGGGTGCCTTCCACCCCCTCCTCCTCCTGGTACAAAAGGGTGCCTTCCACCCTCAAATAAAACAATCACAACAGCTACAACCACTATTACTAACATTATAAAACCCATCACCATCTCAAGAGAAATCATCACTTCCACAGAACTCACCACAACAGCAGCCTTCAGTTCTACAGAGCCCACCACTATAGCAATCACCCTCACTTCCACTATACCCACCACTACAGTAACAGCCACCAATTCCACAGAACCCACTACCATAGCAACAACTGTCACTGATACAGAATCCACCAACACAGCAACTATCACTTCAACAGAACCTACCACCACAATAGCAACTATAACCACTTCCACAGAACCCTACACTACTTTCACAGAATCTACCACAAAAACCATCATTACTTCTACAGAACCCAACACAATAGAAACCACCACCATTTCCACAGAGCCCACCAATAAAACAGCAAGCATCACATCCACAGAGCCCTTCATTGCAGCAAGCACCACTACTTCCACAGAATCCACTAACACAGTTAACATCATCACTACTCCAAAATCCATCAGAACAGCAACCAACAGAGCTTCCAATGAACTCAACACCACAATAACCGCTGCCACTTCAAATGAATCTACTACCACAACAGGAAACACCACAATGTCCACAGGTTCCACCTCAGCCACCATCATTATTTCCACAGAACCCACTACCACAGCAATCACTACCACTTCTGCAGAACCTGCGATTCTAGCTACCAGCACATCCACAGAATCCACCACCTCAACAACCATCACCAGTTCAATTGAACTTACCACCACAATAGCAACTCCTGTCTTTTCCACAGAACCCTATACGACTATCACAGAATCCTCCACAACAAGCATCATGACTTCCACAGAGCCCACCACAATAGAAACCACTGCCACTTCCACAGAACCCACCAATAAAACAGCAACTGTTTCTGCCACAGAGTCCACTACAGCAACCATCACCACTTCAACTGAACCTACCACTACGACAGCAAACATTACCACTTCCACAGAACTCTATGCCACTTCTACAGAATCCATCACAGCAGCTGTCACTACTTCCACAGAACCTTCAGCAACAGCAACGATCACCACTTCCACAGAACCCTATATCACTTCCACAGAATCCACCACAGCAACAGTCATTACTTCCACAGAACCTACCACAATAGCAACAACCATCACTTCCACAGAACCCACCACCACAATAGCAACCATCACTTCTGTAGAGCCAACCATCACAGCAACCACAACCATTTCAACTGAAACTACCACCACAACAAGAAACACCACAGCTTCCAAGGAATCTGTCACCACAGCAACAGTCATCACTTCTTCAGAACCCACAATCACAACAACCACTGCAACTTCAAGTGAACTGACCACCACCACAGCAACCACCACCAGTTCAACAGAATTTACACCAACAAAAGCAATCATGACTTCCACAGAACCCATCACCACAGCAACCGTGACCGTTTCAACTGAACCTACAACCAGAACAGCAAACCAGCAAGAATCTACCACAACAGAACCCACCTCTGCTTCCACAGAACCCTATACCACTATCACAGGATCCATCACTGCAGCCATGATTACAACCATAGAACCCACTGCAACAGCAACCATCACTTCCACAGAGACCATCACCACAGCAACTACCACCAATTCAACTGAAACTACTACCACAACAGCAACCACCACAACTTCTACAAAACCCAGTAACACCACAGCAACGACCACCAATTCAACTAAATCTACACCAGCAAAAGCAACCATCATTTCCACAGAGCCCATCACCACAGCAACTGCCACCACTTCAACTGAACTTACCACCACAACAGGAACCACCACAACTTCCACAGAAATCATCACCACAGCAACAACCATCACCTCTACAGAATCCACTACTGCTGAACACATCACCACTTCCACAGAACCCTATACCACATCCACAGAATCCATCCCAGCAACTACTATTACTTCCATAGAACCCACCACAATAGCAACCATCACTTCCACAGAGCCCACCGCTAGAGCAACAAGCACTACTTCAACTGAAACTAACACCACAAAAGGAAACACCACAACTTCCAAGGAGCCTGTCCCCACAACTACAATCATCTTTTCTTCAAAATCCACAACCACAGCAACCACTGCCATGTCAAGTGAACTGACCACCACCACAGCAACCACAACTTCTACAGAAGCCACCAACACCACAGCAACCACCACCACTTCAACTGAACATACAACCACAACAGCCACCATCATCACTTCCATAGAGCCCACAACCACAAAAGCTATGACCACTTCAACTAAACCTACAATGACAGCAACCATTACTCCCACAGAGCCCACCACCATAGCAACCATTAACACTTCAATTGAACCTACCACCGTAACTGCCACCATCACCACATCCACTGAACACTATACCACTTCCACAGAATCCACCACAGCCACCATCATTATTTCCACAGAACCCCTTAGAATAGTAACCACCACCACTCTCACAGAGCCCACCACCACAGAAACCACCACTACTTCCACAGAATCGCCCATGACAGCAACCATCATCACTACAACTGAACCTACCACTGCAACAGGAACCACCACAACTTTCAAAGACCTCACCACCACAGCAACATTCATTACTTCTACAGAATCTACCACCACAGAACCCATGACCACTTCCACAGAACCCTATACTACTTCTACAGAACTTACCACAGGCACCATCATTACATCCACAGAATCTGCCACAATAGCAAACACCACCTCTTCCATGGAGCCAACCACTACAGAAACCACCACTACTTCCACACCCACCACAGCAACTATCATCACTACAACAGAACCCACTACATTATCAACCACCACCATTTCCACTGATATGACCACCACAGCAATCACTACTACCTCTTTAATTGAACCTATCACAACAAGAACCAACATAACTTCCACAGAACCCACCACCATAGCAACAATCAACACTTCTGCAGAATCTATCACCACAGTAACCACCACCATTTCCACAGAACCCACCACAACAGCAACCATCACTCCCACAGAGCCCACTACTACAACAGCAAGCACTACTTCCTCAGAATCCCCCAACATGGTAGCCATCATCACTGCTACACAACCCAGCACAACAGCAATCATTACCACTTCCACTGAACCCATCACCACAGCAACCACCACCACTTCCATGGAACCCACCACCAGAACATTAATAATTACCACTTCCACAGAACCTTATACCACTTCTACAGAATCTACCACAGCAACCACCATTATTTCCACAGAGCCCACCACTACAGCAACCACCACTACTTCTGCAGAATCTCAAACCTCAGCAACAATCGTCACTACTACAGAACTCACCACCAAAGCAGTCACCACCACTTTCCCTGGACCTACCATCACAACAGGAACATTCACAACTTCCACAGGACCCACCACCAGAGCAACCACTACCACTCTAACTGAACCCACCACCACAGAAACCAACACAACTTCTACTGAAGCCACCACCACCACAGAAATCACCACCAATTCAACTGAACCTGCCACCACAACAGCAGCCTTCACTTCCACAGAGCCCACCACCACAGCAACCATCACCACTTTAACCAAACCTACCAAAATAGGAAACACCACAATTTTAAGAGGTACCACAAGAGCAACTATCATTACTTCTACAGAATCTACTACCATAACAACTACCAACACTTCTACAGAACTGACTGCCACAACCACCACCACCACTTTTCTAGAACCCACCATCACAGCAACCAAGATTACTTCCACAGAACCCATCACTACAGCAATCACCATCACTGCAACTGAACCTACCACCACGACAGGAACCACCCCTACTTCCACAGGAAACACCACCAGAGCAACCATCATTACTTCTACAGAACCTACCACAATAACAACCACCACCACTTCCATAGCACCCACCACCATAAAGGCAATGATCACTCCCACAGAACCCAATGGTACACTAATCACCACCACTTTAGCTGAATCTACACCCACAACAGCAACCATTATTTCCACAGAGCCTACCACCACTTCATCTGAACCCACCACAATTTCCACAGAACCCACTACAACAGCAGCAATCATCACTTCTACAGAATCCACCACCACAGCAACCACTGTCACTTCAACTGAATCTACCACAACAGCAACCATCACCACTTTCACAGAACCCACCAGCACATCAACACCCATCAGTTCCACTGAACCCACTACCACAGCAACCACCACCAGAACAGCAACCATTATCACTTCCACAGAACCCTGTAATACCACTTCCATAGACTCTATCACAGCAACCACCACTACTTCTGCAGAATCCCACACCACAGCAACAATCATCACTATTACAGAACTCATCACCACTTCCACTGAACCTACCACCACAACGGGAACCACCACAACTTCCACAGAACACACCACCAGAGAAACACTCATCACTTCTACAGACTCCACCACCACAGCAACCAGCAAAACTTCTACTGAAGCCAACACCATCAATTCAACGGAACCTACCACAACAGCAACAATCACTACTTCCACAGAACCCTATACCACTTCCACAGAATCCACCACAATAGCAACCACCACCATTTCCACAGAACCCATCACCACAACAGCACCCATCACTTCCACAGAGTTCACCACTACAGCAACCACCACTACCTCTGCAGAACTCCAAACCACAGCATCGATCTTTACCATTGCAGAACTCACCACCAAACCAATCAGCACTACATTCACTGAAACTACCACTGCAACAGGAACCACCACACCTTCCACAGAACCCACCACCAGAGCAACAATCATCACCTCTACAGAACCCACCACTACAGCAACCACCACCACTGTAACTGAATCCACCACCACAGCAACCACAACTTCTACTGAAGCCACTGCCACCACAGTAAGCACCACCACTTCAACTAAACCTACACCAACAACAGCAACTGTTGTTTCCACAGAATCCCCCACCACAGCAACCATCATTACTACTACAGAAGCAACCATGAGTACTTCCACTGATTCCACCACCACAGCAACTACCATCAGTATTTTCACAGAGCTCACTACTGCAACAGAGCCCACCACCACCACAGCAGTAGCAGCCCATCTCCACAGTACCTACAGCAGCTACAACTCAAATATAACCAGCCCTCTATCCACCATAGTGCCCAGTACCACTATCCATGTTACAGCTCCCAAACTACACCCATCTGTATAAAGTTTAAGAGTTCTGGGAATTAGTTCCTGTTGTTTTTTGGTTGAAGATGTGAGAAATTATTTTCCAAACTTCTCTAGCTCTTAGGAGAAATGAACTTCAACTATTTCAGTGGAACCAACCCTGTTCTAACCAGAACACCAAACAAATAAAGTATCTAAGCAATAATATGCACCTAATATTGTCATGATGACTACCACCTTTGATATATTTTATTACCTACCAATAGCTAGTAAAATCATTTTGTCAGAAGGAAACAGACTCCTTATGAAAAAAAAAAGGCATTTATAAAAAATCTGCTTGAAGAGAGTGGAAAGGATTAAATGAACCAGCAAGGGGTGTTAAGGCATACAAAGTTTAGCCAAAGTGGAGCTTGTAGTGTGCCTCAGCTTAATGGGGGCAAAGGAACAAATAACAATACCAGAGCCTGAATCAGGGTTGGGACTGTGGATGAAAAGCCAACCAATAGAATCTGTTGCTGTGAAGGGATATAATTACTGCCCACAGGAGGAAGAGAGCAGTATAGTACCCCTTCCTCTTTCCTTCTATTTCTTTGATCAGTGGACTCTGATCAAGATCTGACAGGCAAAGGAGTCCAGGTCATAGAGTTTATATGGTTGTCCTCCCAGGGTAGAGGGCTAAGCAGAGAAGGGTGAATTGTTCATGAAGAACTATCAGCATATAGTAGCCTTGTTCAGCATTTTGAAGCCAAATAAGTAGGCAAGGAAAAATGTGAGTTCCTGACTTCCTGCACAGAATGAGGAAGAGATGGCAGTAAAATAAATTATAAAATTGTATCAACCTTTTATTGCCTTTCTCTTGGAAATGCACCTATCTATAGGGACAGCTAAGTAGTAAAAATACAAGTAATACAGCATAATTTTAAAAGAAATATAAAATAATAAAATTTAAATAGAAATAATACATGCATAAATATATCAATATAAATATGAAGTAAATATATTTTTTAAAATTTAACTCTCTTGAGTATAGGAGCAGAAGCAATGAATATAAAACATGAAGCAATACCCTAATAAACTGATCATTTTACCTCCCCTCAAATAGGTCTCAAATTATGTAATCATTTTTCATAATGATGGCATCATTGATTTTTGAAGTGAAAAGTCCATTTTATCTATTCTAGTAAATCTAAATGTCTAAATAAGACATGAGGCAGAGTTTTATTTATTTTATTAAAGTAGAACTAAAATGAAATTTGATTATAGCAGGAAATTACTTTTCAGAGGTGCAAGCAACAAATACGGTTACAGACTTAGTTTGGTGCTCAATCAACCTAACAATATCAGGTATACTACTGGCATTTCAAAATTCTATTTGTTTCTGAAGAATAAATAAAAATTGTTTTAAACAAAAGATTATATCAACTCTTTATGGAATGTGTGAAAAGTCTGGGAGTAGTATTTATATCTATGTATATTTGGCCTTTTAAGAATAGCTCTGAACTCCTACTATAAGACACTACTACTGCCAGATTTCTCCTATCTCCTTATCAGTTGTCATTTCCACAATCTGGCTTCTAAACTTCTATGATGCTTAAGCATGACACAAATTTTCCAGCATGGAGGGCCATCAGGGTCTCTGCATTGTCAGCTCTCAGTTGCTTCTCCTGCTCTTGCTAGCAACAACTGAACAGATTCATGCCAACTCCAGTTAACCTTCAATTGGTAAGTAAATTCATTTGGGCACTTTACTGTGACTTGTGTGTAAACAGAGTCAAAAGCGTTATTTATTTCCTACCTAAAGGAACTTTTCATCCCTTTGAGTTTTGGCATCCATTATCTCATCTCTCCACAAAGTTTTTAATGGGGGCAACCGTTACCATCTCTGCCATGAGCCCTATTTCAGTCTCCAGGCTAGGCTGGCTACCTGGAGGGATAGTTTTGATACGGAAAATACCTGCTGTTCCTCTCCTCCCTTCCATGAGCCCTTGGTAAAATGAATTTGTTGAATCACATCACACTGACACACCAATGGAATATAAGGGCTCATTGGTTTTGCACGTCTCCGATTAACTTCATTTCACATTCAGCACACACTTTCCCTACTATTAATCCCTCGCCCAATCTTCTGTCTCCCATATGCCTGTTAGGAGCAACTTTCAGCTAAGACTTAGAGCCCTCCTCACAGCCTATTCCCTGTCACCCATGCTTCCTGAGCTCTCTCTCATGTTCTGCAAGCTGCACGCTGTACGGTTGCAGGAGGAGGGGTATGGCCCATCAGCTGCACCATACTCAGTAGGTCTGCCCAGCGTTCCCCCAGACTATTGTTCTTCTATGTAATATACCAGACACTTTCACCATGCCGTCTAGAGTTCTTGTTCTATTAGAAGAAAATTTCCCTAGACCCTGGGATTTCCCTTAAATACTGAAATAAGTGAACCAGGTTTCCCTCTAAAGACAGAACATATCTTCTTAAATCATGACTATCCCCGCCTTCTAAAACTGACTAAATTATAAGCTTCTCAGAAGTCTTGAAATGTTGCAGACATATTTATCTCTATTTAAAAGAAAATAAAGTTAAAAGGCATTCTTACTTTCCAAATTTCTCTTTAAGCACAAAGGGGAATACATACCTGTCAGACACCCCTGCTGTTATAACCAAGCCCACAGCTCTTAGGGAAAAGGCCATGCCGTAATCATAAAAGGTGGCTGAGAAAGCCTTATCAATTTTTTCAGAGTTCCCAACCACTTCAGGGCATCATCAGATGTCATATGTGTGCATGTTTCATGCATCATATGGATCAGGGAGAGGGTGAGATATGGATAGTCTTGGTTCCTAGGACAGAAAGCTCTGTCAAATTAAACAGCTGAGCTGCTGGCTGTGCTGCAGTGACAGGACACACTGGGTTGGATTCACATAACTCAGCAGTCATCATGACACAGGGTTATGGGTGGAAAGCAAAAAATGCTTCACATAAGATGCTTCATGCAATTCAATGTCACTCACCTCTGCAAATGTCTGCCATGGTCCAGGCACTGTGCTCGGTGCTTGAGTTTCAGCAGGGTACAGGGTTGCTGTCCTTATAGAGCTTGTTATTTGGCTAAGAAGAGAAACATTTAACAAATTATTGCAAATGTTTTACAAAAGCATGGATCTGTATGATCAGATAGAAAGGAAACAACCCACTTTAGGTGAAAGTCTCTAAACTGTTGATGGCCCAGAACAGGGAATAAATTACGTAAGTAATTTTTAATATCAAGTTCCAAAGTACAAAACATTACAGATCACCCAGAAAACTGTTCAAAAATCCAAAATGGGTCTCACTGGGCTAAAACCAAGGTGTCAGGAGGGCTGTGCTCTTCCTGGAGTTCCTAGGGGCGCATTCACTTCTTTGCCTTTTCCAGCTTCTAGGGGTGGCCTCAGTTCCAAGGCCCAGGGTCTCTTCCTCCATCTTCAAAGTACATCACTCCAACCTCTGTTTCCATCGTCACTTCTCTTTCTCTGCCTCCGCCTCCCTCTTTCACATTTAAGAACCCTTGTGATTACATTGTGCCCAAGTGGATAATGCAGGCTAATCTGCTTATAATAAGGTCAGCTGATTAGCAACCTAAATTTCATTTGCCATCTTGATACCTATGGCATCACTCATACCTGGAATTTAATTCCCCCTCACCACATAATAACACAAATCATCACAGGTTTCAGAGATTAAGGTGTGAACATCTGGAGGATGGTAGTGTATTATTCTGCCTAAACAAATGGGTAAACGACAGGGATGCTGTTAAACAGCCTACATTGCACAAGAGAGTCCCCACAAATGTCAGTGCTGTTGGGGTTGAAAAACCCTGATCTATGTTGACAGATGAGTTATGTTGGGAAGGTTCTGGCTACAAGGGTACAAAGGGAACCCCTGGGGAGCTAGCAGTCTTTTCTATCTTGATCTGGGTTCCGGACACACAAGTGTATACACAGGTGACATGTATTCAAGATGCAACCTGTGTAAAGGTTATGATATACACACCTTACTGGAAGTATCTTATACCTCCTTAAAAAGGCCAACAATTATTAAGCTTATGATTTTAAGATAGGGAGGGAGGTAAATACCAGAAGAAACAGCTAAAGGAGTTGGAAGCACTTGCCTCTGGAGAGCAGGACTGGGATACAAAGGGGAGGAACAAGGCCAGCCTTTCTTCCCCTACAGTCACAGTTGATTTATAAAATTTAATCATTTTAAGAAAATGACAAAATGGGGAAAGAAAAGTTCTGTCTGAATCATTTGCCCTTGGAAATCTGAGAGTCTCACCTAACAGACAACTTGGTGTCACTGAGCTGAACTGAGGTAAACAGATGAGGCAGAGAAAACCTACGTAAGCCACCACCATCGGCACAATTTGCTTCATTTAACATGTGCACTGTACTGCCAAACAGTAAGAACTTTAAAAATATTAACTCATTTTATCCTTAAAACTATTATTATCCTCCATTATACAGCCTAAAAGTGTCAGAGCTGGGATTTGAACTCAGGCAGTCACATGTTTTATTGAAACTTTTGGCAGGCCTTAAACTTAATGGGTATTAAAGCTGTGAAATGCCAACTTTCTACATTATTAATCCCAGACAAGACAATAAAGTTGAATGTCTCACATTTACTCATACTTAAACTTTCTCTCTTTTTCTGAATCTCACACACCTCGCACAAGTAGCCATGAGATAAATAAGACCAGTCCATCTTTGTTTACATGTGTTTTTCATTCATAAAGATAACAGCAGTAGCCACACCTACAAATCTTTAGTGCTTGCTTCCATTCTGCTGTCGTCTACACCTAATGAGAGATAAATGGTGGCTGACCTCAGGTTCCAGTACTGCTACTAAGGGCACCTCCAGTTTTTGTGGGGCCTGAATCTTATGACATTTGGGTGGTCCTCTTAAGGAAAGGAATACAAAATTATAAATTCTAAATCACGCACAAGATTGCATATTTATTTAGAAAAATATAAGAAATCCCCACAAATTACAAATTTTAAAAAAACTGACAAAATCCCCTCCAGAATTTTAATAACCAACCACCTAAGAGATGTCTATAATTCTTGTTATGATACATTTTTTGTATATTCTTCAATTACCACTTCAAATGAAATTATTTAATTACTGTTTTCTGTAAGAAGCAAAAAATGATAGTAATTCAGCTTTCCTTTAGCATGGCCGATTAAAGTATCTTTATTATTGATAGTTTAGACCTTTCATTTAAGCTTTACAACTCATTATCGGCAATAGCATGTAAATTTTCTTAATTATTGCCAAATATTGGGATAGCTTACCAAGTTTCTTTCATATATGAGCTGTAAGATTTCAGAGTATTGCAAGTTTTCTTATAAAAGTGACTTATCTTAAACACCTTTTGAAATCGTGACAGTTTATTGAAAATGTCCTCAAATGTAATGATATGAGTTTTATAATATTTTTGACAATGTTAGCATTTCCTATGTATGCATAAAACATGTGGCTCAAAACACAGATGTATTCACTGTTCGAATAGCTTGGTTTATGCACTATAAAAACAGAAAATCTGAATATTGTATTTCATGATATTCCTGAGATAGACAGATATATAATAGATGGCTGATAGATAGACAGATAAAGAGAGTTTATAATTATTTTTGCTGCATAATCAAGGCAAGAGTTTCCATTTGACCAGGCATCAATGAGAACTAAATCTTCTGTTTACAATTTTACATATCTTATGAGTGAAGAAATTCGCACAGACACCTTCTGTACACTTCAAACTGTGTTTCTCTTCCTCTGTCCACTTTTCTTCTGGTGCTAGATACCTTAAGATATGTTCTTACTCTGATAGGACTTCTGTCCCTGCTCATTTATATCACAATGTCAGGTAAGTTAGCACAACCGAATTATTTCTAGAAGCCTCTCTTGCACCAGGAAGGCTAGTAATAACTTAACTATACCTAAAAGTGACTGTGACCCAAATAAATATATCCCATTATATCCAAACTAAATACATTCTCATCTCAACTTCCACATAACCTGTTCTCCAAAATGCCTGCAACATCCTCTTCAATGCTACCTGACACAAAAGGAAGTGAGACGAAAGAGAAGTTGAAGAGGAAAAAGACATCAGTCTTAACCAAACATGGTTAAATATTTTATTTCTAACAATATTGCAAAAGCATAGGAACATATGAGTACATTGATAGATATTCTCCTGTAACAGAGAAGCTGGCTCCATTTTTGATGTTTGACTATTGACAGCTTTTATATCCCCAACCTCTCCTCCATCTACCCCATACCTAGACAACCAAGATAAGAAATCCAGTGTGTGTGCCATGTCTTTTG